TTTAAATGATATAAGTAAGCGTATTTCTACCAGATTTTTGAACATCTGGACAATTTGTCTAAGCATTCTGGTCCTGGACAGGCTCTATTAATTTGTATTCTACTGAGAGAAGTTATTCCCCTTTTCCATTCACCTTTGATAATTAATCACTGTAAATAATGTATTTGAAAGATTAATAGAATAAGATAATTATGCAAGAATGTTTATCGTATAATTCAAAAAGTACTTTCTTAGTTTTAATAATCAGGCAGACCTGTAAGTAATAGATAAATAAAAATGAGACAAAAATAACTTATCTTATTAAAAGTTCTTCAAAGACCATAAGAGAGGTCAATGCTAGAGGTCTTAACATGGGTTTAAAAATAGTACAGAAGCACTAATAGTTTGTTAATAGTCTGCTTGGTGATAATATTAAGTGGGGGACAGATTAGAACTTAAGTGAATACTAGACTAATTATTTTGTTGATCCTGATCTTCCTACTTCTCTTGCTTTAGAGCAACAAAGCTTCATCTGTCAGTGTATTTAACTTCTAAATTGTTGTATTATACTCAGGTGACCGTTAAGGACCTTGGGCCTCTTGTTACAGTAACAATAAACTAAAAATATATGTAATGTATATATAGGTACTCCCATGGTTTGTGCTTGAATATGATTTTTATCCAACCAGTTGTGTGTTTTTTTTACTCCCGAGCCTTGGCGAGGGGATAAAAAACTCACAACGAGTTGGATAAAATTCATATCCAACCACAAATCATGGAAGATTCTTTTTATCCTATGTTTTATACATCACAATCAATGTTTTACACTGTTTTTATATAGGAATCTACTTCATTTTACTTCTCCACTCTCACGCTAAAACCCATTGTGACATCATATCTGTGGGATATCAAAAAAAAAAAATATATCCAATGAGTGATATCCACGGGATAAAGGGGTAAACATGTGAAAGATCACCTATTTTTCGTGGGGTAATTTTTTCGTGGTTTGAAGAAAAAATTAGTTGGTAAAGGGGATTTTCTTTGTGAATGAAGAAAAGCTTTTATATTGTTTAAAAGTTGTTATATATTTGAATTTTACATTTCGTGGAGGACATATATTTGTGGGTCTCTCTATGCCATAAAACACCCACAAAATTTAATGATTTTACAGTATCTCAAATAATTTAGAAAATGTAGGTTCTTGCACTATTTCAAACGTAAGAAGTGGAAAATTAGCAGATTTTCTGTCATAATCATATTGTGACTTACAAGAACTAGTCAATATTAATTGCAATAAACATCAACAAAAACATACCCCTCAGCATATAAGGAACCAGAAGTCTCTGACGAGACTGTAGCTCTACTGGTATTTATTTAACAAAGGAAGAGAAAAGTAGCTAGGCAGTAGCACTTGGACTTGACAGTAAATAAAAAAAATATCCTTATTTAGCCTCTTTTTGTGTCAAAATTGCAGTTGGTCAAAAACTGTAATAGGAGTAGCCTTTGAAAAAATTGACCAAAATTTCCTTTTTTTTTGGTTACCATGACAACACTGTTATCTAAAACTAAAATCTGATGTACAGGATTATGTGTCTTAGTGCAGTCTTCTTGGAATCAGATCAAAGCTGTAGAAGAAGCTTCCTGATAGAATTTGACAGGAATTTTTAATTTTAGTCACCATAGCAATGCCATTCATCAAAACCAAAAACTGATAAGCAGAGTGATGTATCTCAGTGTAGTCTACTTGTATATAATTTAATTTTGGTTTTTACTCGTCATTTGATTGGATAAAAAACTAGTTTATACCATATAACCTGTGTTGCCTAGGTCACACTGACTTAAGTCAAAAACGTATCGAACCGCTTGATGTTACATTTTAATTATGTACAATTTGAAGGAGAAATTGTTATTTTTTCACACTTAGTGCCCGCTGAAATATGGCTGAAATAATGTCGCCTTGGCATTAAACAGTAGTCAATCAATCAATTACACTTGGTGATGAAAATTACATAATAAGGAATGAATTTAATAGCTACCTAGTTTTAAAAGTAAGTCCCAATAAAGCTAAAAATGACAATTTTACATCAATTAGAAAATTCGTAGAAATTTTTTTTTACAGTTCTACCAATCTCCACTATATTTCACACATTATTGAGAATGGGTTCTCCATTCTTTTTATAGAAACATGTCTAAAATAGACATATTGTGATATTTTGAAAGATGAACATGCTCAGTATTTTAGACATTATCTGACAAAGTTTGATGATGCTAACCCAATTAGTACCCGAAATATTTAATTAGATATAAATTGAAAAGTAGGTCATTGTGACCTACTTTTCAGTTGACGTTTTTCGAGGACCCAAGATGCATCAACTTACAAAGTTTTATGATCATAGGCCTTAAAATGTCCAAATTATGCCTCTAAAACGCTTTGAAATCGAATGCCTGCAAAGTTCAAAAAGTAGGTCACTGTGACCTCCTTTTTAATAAATATGTTTTATGGCCCCAAGATGCATCATCTTGCAAAATTTAATGATTCTAAACCTCTCAGTATTCTAATTAATGACCTTAATTGTTTTGAAAGAGATTAGCCATAAAATTCAAAAAGTAGGTCAAGGTGACCTACTTTTTAGTCAACATACTTCGAGGACCCAAGATACATCAACTGACAAAGTTTAATGATCATAGGCCTTAAATTGTTTAAAATATGCCTCTAAATCATTTTGAAAAAGAATGGCCGCAAAATTTAAAAAGTAGGTCATCGTGACCTACTTTTGAGTCAACATGATATGAGGTCCTCAGATGCATCAACTGACAAGATTTGATGATCCACGTCCGTATAGTAAGCAAAATATCAACATTTTAATATAATGTAATTTTTGGTCAACTTTGAAGTGACCTTGAGACCATGCCCTTTGCCCCAGGGTGATTCCCCGTGCAAATTTTAATTAACTACATATTCTCATCCTTTTGTGTAAGTTTGATAATAATCTGCCCAGTGGTTCTTGAGAAGAAGATTTTTTAGCAATCAGTACTTTTGTTTCTATTTTCCTAATTATCTCCCCTTGTTTAAGGGTCACAACCCTAGTTTTAGTAAAAATGGGAGCTGTTGGGCCAAGGATACCCTGTAACAAATTTGACAATAATTGGCAAAGGGGTTCTTGAGTTATGGCCCATATTCTATAAAGTTTACGCACACCGCACAAATGGCCATAGCATTAGCTCTTTGAGCCTTTGGCTCAGAAGAGCTAAAAATGGAAACCTCCACCGATTATTCTACTTTTCAGTTAATGCTGTGTTTTTCTTGTCGAATACATAACCTTTATAACAATAAGTCTGCAGATTTCCCATCCCTCATGTGAGAAATAGTGCAAAATTCTACATTTCCTCTATGATATGATTTTTAAAACATTTGTTACTATAAATAGAAATGGAAACCTCCACTGAATGTACTGTATTTCAGTTAATGCTGCCCTGCTCTTGTCAGTAGCCTTATGTCAACAACCAGTAAATAACAGTTAGTCTGCAAATTGTCCATCCCTAATGTGAGAAACAGTGCAAAATTCTACATTTCTTTAATAATTTGCAGTATGTCTATTTTTAAACATTTGTTACTATAAATAGAAATGGAAACCTCCGCTTATTATTCTGCATTTCAGTTAATGCTTTCTTGTACTTGTTGTTCCCCTTATGTTATTAAAAGTTAATTAAATAGCAGTTTGTCTGCAAATTGTCCATCCCCAATGTGAGAAAATAGTGCAAAATTCTACATTTTCTTGATAATTTGCAGAATGTCTATTTTTAAACAATTGTTACTATAAATAGAAATGGAAACCTCTGCTTATTATTCTGCATTTCAGTTAATGCTCTCCTGTACTTGTCAGTCACATTATGTCAGTTACAGTTAATGACAGTGAGTATGCAAATTGTTCATCTCTAATGTGAGAAATAGTGCAAAAATCTACATTTCGTCATTAATTTCCCATGTGTCTATTTTTAGACATTTGTACTATTTATAGAAATGAGAGCCTATCCTCAATAATGTGTGAGTTATTGTATTATCCCTTGTTCTAATTGATGAAATATTGGTGAGAGCAGTATGTTTATCACTTATGTTTTAGTGGAGCTTCTAAATGATAGAAAATAGTCATTTTTACACATATTATGAGACATGTCTATTTTACGGCATTTGAAGCTATAAATAGAAAACGGAACTCCCTTCAAATAATATGCATAGTAGTTATTGGTGTCCAGTTTCTGTCATTAACATATTGACTTTTACAGTATATTTCTTAAATACCTAACAATGGCATCTTAAACTCTGCCCAAATTTGATTTTTTAGATTTTTCTGAAATATGTCTATTTATAGATACATGTTACTAAAAATAGTATTGAGATCCCACTCCAATTTTTTCATGAGGTGACACTCTTAATTCTGAAGTATGAAAACACACATAAGATTTGAAAATTTTCCATAGACAATTTTTTTTATTTAACCTTAAAGTTCTCAAAAAATACCAAATTTCCCATTTTACACATTTTCAGAAACTAGGTCATTTTACAGGACCTTTTTCTTAGAGTGGGAATAATTCTGGAATAACCGATTATATGCCCTGTATACCTTAAAAGTTGATGTTTTCTTATGATACAATGATTTATGTTTGAGTTTACTACATAAAGATAAAAATGCATTTACATTTCCTCAATTTTCATGTTTTTATTTGGTCAAAAAGGGCCAAACATGGCCAAATTCAATGGATCCGTCTCCATGGCAACCGGGTGCACGTGTGAAACTTCTAACACCATATTTACTAGTTTTGTGCCAAGCTGCACCTGTGGTGCAAATTTCATCAAAATCGGAGAGATGTCGTTTCCAAGATTTTTTGGTGCTTACAGAGAATGCATGTTAAAATGTAAAAGAGAGATACACATGTACCACAAATCTATAAAGTTAAAAGTTACATGCAATTTGCTTGAAAATTGTAATTGGAGGTGACATTTTGTAATATATGACATTTACCCGTTATTCGTGCTATTCCAGGGACCCTTTCTCCAATATATCCTGCTATATGTGCTCCAAGACTATGCCCTATGATGTGGATCATTGATGGCGCTATATTATAAGTGTAGTTAAGTTTCTCAACCATTAAAGCTGCAATGACGCCCACAAGACGAGTGTTGGCGGCCGCCTGGAGGTAGTTTAGCGTCATTGCGCCTCGCTTCCAGTCAACTACTACCACGTTCACGTCTGCCTGTAGCAAATTAAACAAGATGTTTATTGAGTTGTTTTTTTTTCTGTTAACACAAACCGTCATTATTGGATATAATACATGTATTTGAAAATGGTATAATATCTGAAACCTCTTAATCATGAATGCTGAACTTTACACTACGCCGATTCCATAGCGTAAATAGATGTGTATTTATGATGACTGCCTGTTGAGTTTTATTTTTGGGGTCCCATTGTAGATTAAGGTTTAAAAAGAAGTGAATTTATCTAAATCTCTTTATTATCAGAATTTGTATCGTGCTGTGCCGCTGGGCATTAATTGAATATATAAATATATTGAGAGTAAATCTAAGTTGTATATCTACAATTATCTCCTTGATGTGTGGAAGAAATTATTTTCTGTTCTCTTAATACAGTTAATAAAAGGTAACAAATATACACTGATCTGAGGATATCGCCTCATCTACATGCTAAAACCTAATCATTTTCAAACGTATCGAAATTCTCCTGACGTCAAATACATTTCAAAGCTGAAACTGATAACGGTGTGGTTTTAATGCAATAAACGCGTCATATGGCAAAAAGAGAGAACATTTCTTTGCAATAAATCATGTCATTTTTTATCGTATAAAATTTAAGGATGATTATCAATTTTCTGATGGTAGACTAGATTATATTTCAAAAGGTCACAAAAAGATAGTAATGAGTAAAACATACCCAACAAAAATCTGTTATTTGATAAAGGAAATTTTCCATGTTTTATTATTTACAAGGGCATCTTAGAATTAATAAATTAAGGGGGAAAAAAAGAAAAACTCGTCACATTACTTGAACTGATTCGAAGTACTCGTACACGTATATACTAGACAATATTTGAAAGATGATTATTTTTTCCTAATAAATAAAATTAGAGGAGAAATCGAACATTTTGTGGATATTGACATGTTGCGCTTTATTTCTTACAAAGAATGTCATGAATGCCTTGAAACTTGGCTAGACTTTGGTAATCACCATCAACTCAATGCTGGAATGAGGATCAGCACAGAAATCAGTTCGCAGTCAACTACCAGGTTAATTATGTTATGTCAGGATTTCCTAAAAATCACCACAATTTACAAAATTTCTTTCGTTTACTGTCCTTTTTTTTTTTTTTTTTTTTTTTTTTTTTTTGTAAAAGATGATAATGTGCCTCATTCAAAGGTGCAGAGAATTCTATATTTTAAAGTATATAAAGTTATTAAACTAGGATAAACAGTCATCTTTTTACACATATTTAAACCTACATTTTAAAGATTACACTGTATAAAAGTGTAAAAATTATATATATGGATCTAGGGGAAAAAATCGTCAATCGAATAGTTTATTAATTTATGCATCAACAAGAGGCACTTTTCATTTGTCATCTTAATGTTGAAAAAGATAAAGAAATCGAGTCATAATTAATATACAACACGAAATAGACCGACTCAGGATAACAGTTTATATTTTTTCATTTATTTATTTATATTAACTTTCTGTAGAAGCAGATACTGATAACAACAGCTTTGACACAATCAAACCAACAGTTATATTATGAACCACGTAAAACAGGTTTTCTGTTTTCGTGTATCTATTATTTATTTTATCTCATTGTGTTTCCCTATATGTCAAGATGTGAAAATATTTGGTTTATATGTGCATGCAAGATGTACTTATTAATTTAAATAATTATTTAATATTAATTATTTAATTTATAACAAATAAACGATAACAATTTTTATAGCTCAGATTTTTGCATGGTGATATTTTTTTCCTTCAAATCAATCAAACCCATGTTAAAAAATGTACAGAAAAAAAATTAAGGATGCAGTAGAAATATATATATATATATATAAATATATATATATATATATATATATATATATATATATATATATATATATATATATATATATATATATATATAATAAAACTAACTATACTTAAGGTTCATCGACCCTCTGATAAGGGAGATATTTGTGATAAATGTCTACTATTCCTTTATAAAATTGTCAAACGATCATTTCTATCAAGATTAACCCCCCAAGTCATTATTATTTTTATTTTAATAATAACTTACATCACAAGCCTAAGAACAAATTTTTTACGAGTGAACAGATGGATGTTGAATCTTAAAGGTGATTTACTTACATTCTTGATTATTTCCCTTGTCATTCTCTTCACCCAGTCTTTTCGTCCCCGATCAACATAACCGTGAATGATTACTTTGGTCAGTTTTGGAGTGTCTAAGTACACTTCTTTCCTTCCACATCTCTTTATCTTTTTTGCTTTTCGTGGGTTTTTCCTCGTATACAGCAGAAAACGAACTCCTAAAGACTGTGGAGTTTGTGGTAAAATTCCTTTGGTGTTAGTAAAAGGTGCCTCTGTGCTAAAACAACCGTATTTCTTGTAACAAACTTCAGTCGGCGTAGCAGACTTGAATAATGTTAGAAGCCCCCATGCATCTGCAAATAAAACGTTTTTATTAACAAATAATAAAGAAATATGCATTTGAATGGATATTTGTCTTGATTACATAAATTCCAATTATGAAAAAAACCTAAGTTACATGTTCTTACCGCCCCTTTGTAGCTGGGTACAGAAAAGGACTACTACTGAAATCCCGACACTAAAGCTGATGGCCATGTTCAGAAGTGAAAACTAATCCGCTGAATTTCCGGACAGTAAGACGGAAATGTATGATACTTTTAAAGTTTACACAGCTCCTTTGAATGACTAATGAGTAGTAGTGGATAAAACGTTAAATATTGATACACGCTATACTTGTCATTATTAGAGCGCAGGCGTACTCGACATCCAAGGATTGTCAAATTTTGAAAGATCACTTGCAGACTTGGGATTTGCAGATGTGAAGCCTTTTTTTATTGCAAGTTGTAAGTTTTTGTGAAACATTAAATAAACTGCAGGATATATGTATATTATCTTGTAAGATTCTTGAATGAAATGAGATTGTTTAGAAATGCCACAATCTCAAACAATCGAATCAGTCTGCACTTCCATGTTTTCTCTTTCTCTTAACCACCAGATGCTGATGTTTTCCTATCATCCTAATTCAATAAGGTTTCAACTCTGTGGGTTTTTTTACGACTGAGAGAGGGGTACACTGACACTGATGCAGCGGCACGGAATGAACATCAGGTTAATTATTACTAGCAGGAATTCTGTTGCGATAATCGGAAAGCTATAAGCACGATCATAAAGTATATGTATATATGCAGTCTGTTACCTATATAGAAGATCTAATATATAACACGTCAGCACAAACGTCACATTCTGTCGTCTGATTCTCTAAAACTTTGGACGACTACAGGCACACACCCTTGCCATGGAAGTTTTACTCTTCCTTGGACACCGTTCTAATTAGTCGAATGTACAAGTAACTGTCAGCTTCAATGATGGCGGAGTATAAGAAGCTGCACACACCCCACTTACTGATGTCTGGGATATGTATAGCAGTCTGGAATTGGACACACTAGTTTGGTAGACGGAGAAATGATCGCGATCATTGTAAATCGTAATTTATACACACTGTAAATAAAAGTAAAACAAAATATATCAAGTTTTTGCAATGAAATAAGATTTGTTCTTAATTTTTGAAAATGTTTTTCATGAAAAACAAAAACATTCTTAAAAATAAAACAATTAAATATTAAATACTTGTATCATCTAAAATATTTTCATCTCTGCCAAGATTCTTCATAGAATAATTACATGTAAATACAAACAAGATCCATGTTAAAATCCTTCTTTAATATGGTGCTTCTAGCCGCGGTGATTTATTTGCAAGGGCAATTAGCTACAAATCTGCTAGCTTTAAAACAAACGAATTTTTTTAAAAAAAAAAAAAAAAAAAAAAAGGAAAAGTTTTATCGATTAACTTAAGACCCTTAGTGAAATTTACTCTTTTATTTTGCTTCTGTATGATATATTAAATACTAGTATTAAAAAAACAAATATTTTTTTCACAAACAATAAACAAATATCTGTATACGTAGGTTTTCTAAGATTCTTTAAAGTTTTCTAGGGTTCTCTGTTTAGTAGTTCAGATATTTAAGGATACTTGTAATGTCCCTGGCTTTCGCATAGAATTTTTCAAGAACTTTTTAAGAACTCTTGTGAAGGTGTAAAGGTACTAAATGCTATATTCTGGTACTCTTTACCCATTTAATTTTAAATATTGATACAAATTAAGACACAGATATAACCTACCTGCACTTTTATATTTTATTTTAGTTACTTCCTGTTGTATCTATTGTTAAACTGTCTCAGTCACTTGATTGTTTCTGTGATATAATTTATTTTGCATGAAAAAGCTCAAAAACGATGTTGACACTTTTTCTTGGGGGTGAGGGTGGGGTATTGTTCGTAGAACTTGACGTGGTGCGTCCTCGCACGACATGGACAACTGTTATTAGTATCTATCTCATCTTTGCCCTTTCCACCACAGCTGTGGTCCGTATCGATCTATTGACTTTATGTCCCCTGAACATAGAATTCAACAAATCCACCACTTTTCTTTTTTGCTGTAGAGATGATTAATTCCTCCCGTTGAAGGAAGTGTACTTATTTCTTGTTTATAAAACACTTCATTGGTTTTTACAGACTAAAGAATTCTACAAAGGAGATCACTCTCAAATATTTCAGCCGAGAAAGATTACTCTAATTAGTAAACAAACCTAGTTCGATTTTGCAGATATTTGATATGTCGGTACCATTTGCTGATATAAATAAGCTGCTGAAGTTTCTTTGAAATTAATATTACCAAAGCAGAGTTATGACTCTTTAAAATGATGTGCTGGAACAACTTAGATCTGATGATGAAATAAGCATCAGACACACACTACTCATATACGTTACAGTTGCTCTCTTTCCTTATATTTTGATATTATCTGACTGAGCTACCGTGACCGGTAGGACAAAATAAAAGAAAGTAACTAAAAAACAGTTCACATACTTTCAATGATTCCACACAGGAAATATACATGTAGCCGTCCCGGTATCTAAGTCGGTATAGCGCTCGCTCCGTGATCGGAAGATCGTGTGTTTGAATCACGGCCGCGACTGACGGTAGCAATTGTTCCTTCGCCAAGGGCTCGGCACTTTGAAGTGAAAATTGCGGGTCTTTCGGATGAGACCTTATAAACCGAGGCCTCGTGTCACGGTAAGTCTTGGCACGATAAAGAACCCTCATTGCTCAATGGCCCCGAGTGCCGAGTAAAGGTCTAAATTTGAAGTCCTTCACCGGTATGGGGTGACCTCTCTATATGAGTGAAAAATTCTCGAACGGGACGTAAAACAACAATCAATCACACAAGAAAATGAGTTTGTAAGGTTTTATTCGGTTTGCATGTATCGAAAATTGACCCAAGAATGACGCCTTGGGTTGGAGGCGGCGATTTTCCACTTTTCATAATGGCGCCGGTTCTGACGTTTTCCTTGCACGTCATATATTAAAATCGTAAAAAGCCTGGAAAACGTCAGATATTTCGGACTTACATAGGCAGGGACTGTTCTTTCGCCAAGCGCCCGGCACAAGAAGTGAAAGTCACGGGTCTTTTGCATGAGACCTTAAAAACCGAGGCTCCGTGTCTCGGTAGGCGTCGGCACGATAAAGAACCCTCACTGCTCAATGGCCCCGAGTGCCGAGTATAGGTCTAAGTTTGAAATCCTTCACCGGCATTAGGTGACGTCTCTGTATGAGTGAAAACTTGAATGAGATGTTAAACAACATACAATCAATCACTCATACTTTATATAAGTTACTTTAGAGTTGTAACTGTTGATAGCTGTTTCATGTTTTCTGAATACTCCGTTGTCTCTGCTTATGGTGAAAGCTGACTTCTGACTGGCTACTGTCCTGAAATTTTAAAATCAGAAATGTCACCCACTGCATGCAAGTGATCATACCACATTAGCTGAAAATGAGCCATTGAAAAAAAATCAATGTTTAAAAAAACTTTTAAATTTAATTCATAATCAAATAATTGTTAATTAACTATATCCATATAAGTCACGTAACCAAAGTTGTGAGGAATCATGCATGTCTCTCCCACTAAAAATATTTTGAAGGAATTTCACATAAATTTCTAATTTTAGTAGCCATGACAACAATGTTCATCGAAATCAAATACCGATATATAAAACTATGCCTTGTGTATCAAGTTATTTTGAAACTGAACCAAAATTGTGAGAGCTAAAACTTGTAAATGTGCAGATATGACGTGTGCAATATTCTTGCACATGAAAATCAGGAAAACCCGAATAATGAAGTGATTTAGTCTTACGTTGGGACTTTCAAATACAATTTAACACAACTGCTCAGAAGAGAACTGATCTTGAATTACTTTTTGATTCTGAATGTACGAATTCAATGATTGAGTGTACATATATTGTTTAACGTCCCATTCGAGAATTTTTCACTCATATAGAGACGTTACCATATACCGGTGAAGGGCTTCAAATTTAGATCTTTACTCGGCACTTAGGGCCATTGAGCAGTGAGGGTTCTTTATCGTGCCAACGCCTACCATGACCTCGGTTTTTAAGGTCTCATCAGGAACACCCGTTTCTTTGACTTCTAGTGCCGCCGTCACGGTAGCTCTGTCGGTAGAGCGTTCTCCGTGATCGGAAGGTCGTGTGTTCAAATCACGGCCTGGACTGACCTTAGTCGATAAAAAAGAAGTGGCAACTGTTCCTTCCCTAAGCGCTCGGCACTTTGAAGTGAAAGTTGCGGGTCTTTCGGATAAGACCTTATAAACCAAGGCCCCATGTCACGGTAGGCGTTGGCACGATAAAGAACCCTCACTGCTCAATGGCTTTTCAATCAGCTATTCTGGCCCAGTGGTTCTTGAGAAGAAGATTTTTAAAGATTTTTACTACAAATTTTACTGTTCACGGTAGCTCAGTCGGTAGAGCGCTCGCTTCGTGATCTGGAGATCGTGAGTTCGAATCTCGGCCGCGACTGACCCAAGTCGATAAAAAATGGGTAGCAACTGTTCCATCGCCATGCGCTCGGCACTCTGAAGTGAAAGTCGCGGGTCCTTCGGATGAGACCTTAAAAACCGAGGCTCCGTGTCACGGTAGGCGTTGGCACGATAAAGATCCCTCACTGCTCAATGGCCTTGAGTGCCGAGTAAAGGTCAAAATTTGAAGCCCTTCACCAGTATATGGTGACGTCTTCATATGAGTGAAAAATTCTCGAATGGGACGTTAGACAACATACGATCAATCCGTGGAAATTGTTTATGCTTTACCTCGAGTGCTACCTCTCGCTATATCTTTACCAGCAACTTTAAAAAACCTCGTTACACGGCTTGAATTCATCAGCATTGATATCTTCAGAGGTCTTCTTTAAAAATATTTTTGAAGCCCGAATCTCATGGCTATTAAAGATTTTTTTTTGTAATAGTCAGTACCGCAGAACTCATTTTTGCATAAAACTTCCTTAGTTTTTCAGACATCTCCAAACTTAAAAAAATTTCCATATCCTCGAAGTTAACTCTATGCCTTTCGATAAGGTGGTCCAGAAAGAGCTTCAGGCCAGTTTTAACAACCTTTTGGGTATTCTTGCTGTCTTTAAATTCTAGGAGTGATTTAATATTTTCATCATCAAACGATTCATACCTGCTTAAAGACGATATTGTTTTTCTAACTCTCTACAGTTGGAACTCTTCAATGTTGAAGGAATTGTCAACCTATCAAATTACAGGAAATCAAAGTTGGCGTCCAAACTTTGATGAGAATTTTTCGAGGAGTGAGTGGCAGAAACTTAATCCCGGGTTATAGCTTTGCTATGCGTAAAAAATTTCAGACTATAAAGTATAGTTTTATTTACCTTTTTTACTTTATATACGAATGAAATATGGAGATAAGAACAGTACTCAAGCTCAATTTAAAAAATTTAGACAATACAAATCGGGAGCAGGGCAAACACGGACCTCCAAAACATTAGAGTTGGAATCAGGTGCCATGGAGGAGTGAGCATCCCCTGCCGACCGGTCACACCCGCCGTGTGCTATTTGTCATGATCAGAAAAATGCGTAGACAATTCAGTGTGTAAATAATGGCCTAACAATAAGTATGAAAAACGTAAGTCAGCATTTTACTTATTGATAGATTGTATTTTGAAAAAGTCTTTTTCTAGTAAAATATCCAAATATGAAACAGATGTGTCAGACTCTAAATGTCGAGTTGAAGGCCACAGCAAGTGTTTTCTTCTTCTCAA